AGAAGCCAAGTATTTGCAGACGTGTCCTGGGTTGATCTTGCTGTTATGTGGTTGGTTTGATGAACTGCAGGTCTCCCTGATTTAGTCCCGGATCCCTATTACATCCAGGCGTCCACGTACGTCCAGAGGATGTCCATGTATAACTTGAGATGTGCTGCCGAGGAGAATTGCCTGGCAAGGTAGGCATCACCCCGCGTTTTGCCCGTTCACTGTGGGTTTTTGTGCTCCTGTGCCCACCGCAGAGTACCTGAGGACACGATCTAGAGTGGAGAAAAGAGAGCCTGAAGGGCCTGAGGAAACGTAGCCCAATTTGTAACCTAAGCCTGTGGCAGATGGTGGGGAGTGCACACAGGAAAATAATACTGCCCTATTAGAGCAACAAACTGCAGATGCTTTGAAGAACCTACATTTTGTGGGAAGTTACATTGCACATTTCTATTATCGGGCTCATTTGAACATATCTGAATTTTGCAAAATGGAGGCACCTGAAAACCCCACTTGAATCTGGTGATTTTCATCTCCCTCTTGTAACCCAAATCATATTCTACTCTAAAAAAAAAAAAAAAAAGCCACCTTATTCTTAACCAACACAAAACACGAGTTACTATTAAAGTTATAACATGCTGATTGCTTCTGGCCCTATGCCTTGTAATGTCTGTTAAGACCAAAATCTTCCCAAAGAGTGTTTCAAAGTCTTTTAACAGGTTGAAATAACAGCTTTGCTGTGCAGTTAGGTCTTATTTGGTTGCCAAAGAAGGATTTTTCCTGTTTTGCTTGGAAAGAAATCAACCTGGCTGTTCTTAACCGTTTTAACTTGTTTGATACCTTATCATGCAAAACAGATTTATTTATTTACCAGCATCATTAACTGATGTCAGGCTGTTTCCAGGGTCATATTCTTTCTTCACGTGCTGGAAAAAGAAGACATGGCATAAGACGCAGTATTTATTTTATGCTAACTGTACAGTGAAGACTAATGGAAATGTTCTTGCTGGCTACCAATTGATTAAAATATTCCAGCATTTAAAAGACTGTAGATAATAGCTATGTGAGATAGATAGGAAAATACAGCCTGAGGCATCTATTTTACAACAGAAATAAACATCTGTCGTGTGGTCTTACATACACACTGAGTTATTTTGATTAACAGCAACTAAAGAAATCACATTTTTGGTACCACAGTAATTTTACAGCTAAGGGTGGTGATCTGCTTCAGAGATGGAGGCAGAGAGTCAGTGGTCAAACTTGTGTTTAGATTATTAAAAGCAGGCCTGAATCTTATCCATGTCTTAGTGTGGCACCAGGCACTTCTGAGCGCACCATCTGGAATTCTTGTGTGTTTCCAGTGCATGAGCTTTAAGGGGACTGAAAAGATCTGTGTTATCAGTTACTTTTGCAACAATAGAAACTGTTTTGTAAAGTGTTTCTTGCATGTACTTATGGCTCTTTTTTGCATTCTTTCAGTTCAGCTTATCGAGCAGATGTTAGAGACTATGACAATCGGGTGCTCCTGAGATTCCCCCAAAGAGTGAAAAATCAAGGCACATCAGATTTTCTCCCCAGCAGACCCCGTTATTCATGGGAGTGGCACAGCTGTCACCAGTGAGTAAAGTCATCAGTATGATAGCACCTAGTTATCTCATTCACTAACAAACTGTCACTTACAAGGTGACATGTTCTGAAAGAATGGTTAAGTGGGGCAAGGCATGGGGAAACTTTCACCTTTTACTCTTTGATTAATATTATAGGAATTGCTCTTTATATAGCCACATGAAATCAAAATGGATATGAAGCTTATCTGTAAGTATAAAACTCTTATTAGTATAAATTCAGTATAAATACAAATCTCAAATCAGGTTTGACAGTGGCACCTTCTCCCTTTAAGTATATTTTACATAGGTTATAGTCCAGCTATGTTTATGTGGAACCAGTAAATAAAAGTCCCAGTCATGTTAAACTAACTGTGGAAACACAAAAAAGTACATTGACTCATATTTCTTGACATGAATTTCATGGGTAGTTCCTTACAAGGCATGTCTGGGTCAATATGGAAAAGAGAAGATACTGAGCTAACTGATCCCATTATTAATATCCTTATCATATCATGATACTTTTGTATAGCAGTACTGCACTAGAAATAACAAAAGTGCTAGAAATATGGCAAGGCAAATATAGTAGAATATCTTAAACATTTTTGGAGCAGGTAACACTGCAGACTTGCACCTTTTCAGAAAACTCACATGCGGCAGTTTGAAGGTTTGTTCCAATTTATGCTGTTTCATTGCAGAAGAAATTGTAAAACACTAGAAAACTGACCTTAATTCCACTTTATTTAAAAGATTATTTTGCTGTTATGGGTGTATAAGTGATAATATTAATACTCTAATAAAAAAATTATGTGTAATGTGGGCTTGATCTAAAGGCCCACTCTAAAGGAGTCAATGGAATATTTCTCTATAGCTTCAGGGGCTTTAAGCTTTGAATGAAAAACCGGTATCATTAGAACAAATTCTTTCAAAAAAAGACTATACTAATTTGTAAATCTTGTCAGAACCAAAAAGCTAAAAATAAGTTAAAAAAAACCCACAACCAACCAAAAAAAGCCTCTGTAACTGCTTTAGGTAGCACGCACCCCTGAAAAAAACCAACCACCATGACCAAAAAAAAAAACCCAATGGTGCTTACATAGTTGATAAATGGATGAAATAGATAGAAATCTATTGATATCTTCCATTTGTAGAAAACCAGCTTCTTACCCTGCCGTGATTGTTATCCAGATGCAAAGTGTCTCTGATATTACTTCAGTTCTTGGACAGAAAATACATTGGCTACCAAAAAAAAAAAAAAAGGCATTTCTTGTGATCATTTCCATGACAGTGAAACAAGCTCATTTGGAGATGAACTGTAACTGCCAAGTTTGGCTGGCCATCACACTTCAGTGTTAGTCATCATCATCTGTGACTGCTTTTAGTGTTCTTGATATGCATGCTTGTGAGACTTGTGTGCTCCTCTTTATTTTAACAATATGCTTGAATTCTGTTTCACTAGGTCTTTTTTCTTATATCTCTTGAGCTGAAAGTATTCATAAGTAAGAACAGCCAAATGCTGTGCTGACAAAGTGAAGGCAGATAGTACAAGCTCAGTTCCCCATGTGTTTGGAAAAAGTTAAATTACAAGAATGATAGATGTCCAAGTCCACAGTAAGAGCTAGAACTCCCGTGGCATTCACAGGAGGTAAGGTAAGCATTCCTAGCGAAGTTCTGGCTAAAGGCAGTTACAGGATGTACAATTCAAATATATACTTACTATTGGTATTGCAAAAGAGTGAAACAGGAAACTTTGGAAAAACAGTGCTGCTATGGAATCTTTCCCCATACAAAATAAAATACATTATTTCTAGAAGATGGAATTTTTATAGTAATTGAAAATTAGAATAGCGAAGATAAAACTTAACTGAATGGCCAATAATAGGTAAGTAATACACAAGTTCTGTGCAATAAATAAAATTTGGCCAGATCTAACAGAAGGTAGATCAAGTAGGAATATGCTAAAATGTTATTGACAAGATCTGATGCATCTTTAATAATGCATCCATGGTTTTACAGGCATTATCACAGCATGGATGAATTCAGCCACTATGACTTGTTGGATGCAAGCTCACACAGAAAAGTTGCTGAAGGACACAAAGCAAGTTTCTGTCTTGAAGACACCTCCTGTGATTATGGATACTATAGACGGTATGCGTGTACAGCGCATACGCAGGTAAGAGTTGGTTTGGAGACAACAAAGCTGCTTTTCCCCCTCTAATTTATCTTTGGGTATTTTTTTCTACCTATTATCTGATGCCCTAACTAGCTCTGAAATTCTCCATCAGAGGCCAGGATAGCATCTTGGGGGCTTATCATTTACCCAAGTGCTGCTAAATGTGGGAGTGTTATCACTGGTAACTGAACTATTTTAAAACACACCAGAAGTTCCTGTGGTTACAGGACTGGTCAAGCAAGCTAAAGGGAACCCAAGACAGAGTCAGTAAAGAAGCTGTTTCCAGTGTCCATCCCCCCACACTACTTGGTGGTGTCCTTGGTGTTCCCAGAGCTGATAGGTAGTATTTTCTCCCTTGCAGAGCAGGAGGCTGAAAGGTGCTGAATGCCCTTGATGCCTGTAGCTACCGGCTGTCAGTCCAGCACAGAAAGCTTGCAGCGTAGTTTTCTGTGTGTACAGAAGGCCATTACAGAGCATAGCAGCCATATGAATGTCGTGGTGAGTCAGAAAAATGTAAAGCAAGGTGTTAGGGCTTGCTATAAGAATATACAAAAATGGGATGTACCATTATGATACCCAAATCCATTCTAGACTCCTGCCTTGAATATTGCATCAGTTTTTGTTCACCACCTCTCGAAACACAGAACAGCTTAAAAAACAAAACCAACCAATCTCAGGAAAACAAGGATAGTCAGCAGTGTAGTATGGCTACCACACAAATTGATTTCGTAGACTATTCTATTTGGAAAACCAGAAATAATGTGGAGAGGAAATCGTTTATATTCACTGTTTCTCACAGTACAAGAATTTAAAGATGCCCAAAAGAACTGTCAAACAGCAACATTAAAACAGAGAGGAGTGCTCTTTTGACACATGAATAAAGCATTAAATTCATTGCTGTAGAATGTTGCGGAGCTCAAAAATATATACACGTGTTCAAAAAAAAATTAAACAGAGTAATGGAGGCTATTAAACACAAAAATCTGGTGGTACTCCATGTCTTAAATACAGTTAAATGCCTAGTGGAAGGAACTTGTCTTGGTAAAGGACACTACGCATCCCACTTTCACATTCTTTTCTCCTCAAGCATCTGCTGCTGACCGCTGTCAGAGACATGCCACTAAGCTTGATGGAGCTGTGGTTCAACTCAATGTGGCCATACTTATACACAAACTTGTATCCCTTATTCTGCAGTTTTTAATCTAGGAGGTAGTTATTTTATCACAGAAAAATGACAGCTATGCTTCACTGGCTGACGTGTCCACATTTGAATTTTAAATATAATGAATGATCTGCATTACACAAAAGCTTTGAAGAGGTTTTATAAGTATCTTTTCTCCTTCTGTAGACTATGACATCTAACTAAGCAACATACATATTTTACAGCTGGAGTATTTGTGTCAGTAGAATCATGGCTGTGTCAGCGTTTCCACTGGAAGCCCAGGGGTTTGTAATTGGACTGTAAAACTTTCCTCCAGCCTCAGACTTGGCACATACATGTGAGAGTCTGAGCTGATCACCAGCTGGGTCAAGAGGGAATTCCTGTAGGTCGTGGGTTTTGAGCACTCTGTGTGTTGCCAGAAGAGACCAGCTTTGCCTAGAGCAATCTGTGTTGACCATGGGTAAAGACACCAGATTTGAACCACTGATAGATTCATATGTGGAGATTATTACTAATGTTCCTCACGGTAAAGAAGTTTTAAGAAAAGATTCCTCTGGAAGAAAGGCTACTTTTTCAATTCTCTCAGGTTCTTGTGTCACTATTTGCCTGAAGAGACGCCATTCCCATGCAAAGCTCAATGTGAAAATGGCCCTAGACTCCTATTCAAAGATGGGACTTTGGCAAAGTACGTAGCAGAAAGTTGCATCATTCCTAATGGCAGAGACAAGTTCTGACATGATGATCAGTTTTGTACTCAAGGACCTCAAAAGCTATTTACAGATATTTAGGTCCAGTTTTCAGTCAGTTTTGATTTTATTTTCACCTGTGAATAATAACATCAACAATATTTACATAAAAGGAGTACTGTAACAAGTGATAATAAGATACAGATAAAATCCAGATATCTCACAAATTAACAACTATCAATAGTATAGATGTTTCATATGCAGTAGTAATACAATGCTATCTGTAAAAGTGAAGTTAGACCTACATATTCTAGTTTAGATAGTCAAATAATTAGATATCCAAATCAATTCATCAGATAAACAAATAACAAAATAATTACATTAATAACTTAAAATTAGATAATAAAATAATTTAGATATTAAAATAAGATTCCAAGAAAAAATAAGCCTCATTTCCTGAGGTAACTTTAATCGTGTATTGTCATTGTTAAGTGAACTTCAGTCTGCGTCACTAATGTCTACAATGTTACTATTTCTAATGATTTTTTTTACATTAATCTTAACTTTCTTTTTAAGGGACTGAGCCCTGGCTGCTATGACACTTACAATGCTGATATAGATTGCCAGTGGATTGATATTACAGATGTAAAACCTGGAAATTATATTCTGAAGGTAAGAGTATGGGTATTGGGAGTACAGGGTTTCAGGGTGGGCTTTTTGGTTGCTTTTTTAAAGAAGCAAATCACATGCCTATGTCCTTTTGAATGTAAGTTATCAACTGCAACCTGGCAGTAGACAATACTCTGCTTTCTCCCTTGAAGGTGAGTGTAAACCCCAGCTATTTGGTGCCTGAGTCTGATTACTCCAACAATATAGTACGCTGTGATATACGCTATACAGGCCACCACGCATATGCCTCTGGCTGCACAATTTCACCGTAAGTACATTCCTTTGTCTTTGCCACTCTTTTAGATTCACAGTACTGAAATTATTCAGGCTTGAAAAACAATTTTGCTCTTCCAGTTGTGCCATCAGGATATACAGAACTTTCAAAATCGCTGCTGTTAGGGCTGCTAGATAACTATCTCTGGCTCATGCATTCTGTGTGTTTGCACTAAAACCTTACTGTGTTCATTCAGTACTTGCTGAATAGCACCCACACAGAACTGTTGAGCAGTTACAGAGCTCTTAAGACATTCTGCAAAATCCCACACATGTATGTTACTATGCTACTGCTGCTGACACAGCAGCCATCCTCCCTGAAACAGTCCTTCCAGACAGACTCCCTTTAACAGCTGAGTTCTTTAAAAGTTGAAACAATGCCACAATTATGCTTTTTTTTTTTTTCCCTCATGAAAAAAGGCAAATCTGTTTAATCAGTGTTCTCGTAGTAGATCTACTCTAGCTTAGTACCTGTGGAAAGACACACAAAAAGCAATCAGTTCTGTAACACAGAGGCAAGCAGTTCTCAGGGTAATATATTAATTGCTCATACAAAATATTTTTCAAATGGTTTCATTTGGATTGCATAAGGAGTGAGTATTAACATTGTATAAAGGTGTATGTCATAAATTCCAGAGCAGTACATGAAAAGTAAAATAAACGACCTGTTACAGTCTGCTGTAACAGCATCAGTTGAAAAAGACATACTGAAGTAATGTGACTGTTGCTTTATTAGCCTTTAAAATACTCATTCCTTATTTTGCATTAGGAAACCAGTAGTTAAATGGGGCTAAAATGAGAAACAATTTTTTTCACGCTGGTGTGGAGATCTGTATTTATAATCACACTTTGGTCATAAATGTGACAAGTTAAATGGCTTGAGCAGAATCCTTTATTTGTTCTCGCCGTGTCATGGTCAGACTTGCAGGAAATGGAGGAAAAAGAACAACGGGCATCCTGCAAGTCACAAGCAATTATTTTTGGCAGGCCTATGGCACAGGCTTTTAAAGCATTTTTCTGTAAGGGGGCTGACTATGGGTTACACTTTTAAGCCTCCCCATCTTACCTCTGTAAATGTTATCAAGTAAATATATTCACGCAGAGTGAGGAAACAAAATTTCTTTTGTTGCTTGTTGACCCGCCTCTTCAAGCTGACAAAAGGGCATTTAGCAAATACCACTTTTTATCTGGTTAGTCATCTGCATAACATTGTTCCTTTTCTTTCGACAGATACTGAGAAACATGCAAGAAAATGGATGAGACCTGCCAAATGTTTTGAACAGAAGTATCATTATATAAACTTCAGTAGGATGTAAACAATATAGAAACAAAACTACAGAACATACACATATACACCCACACACCTTAAGTAATTTTGAAGCACTTCGTCTGCTTCTCAACTAAATCTGTAACTGGATTTTAAGCATTTAAATTGGCATTACTTTTGTTAATGTTGAAATGTGTGGAACTGGTGATTCATACACAGATACTCTAAATTTTGAAACTGACTAATGCATAAAAATACGAGCATTTCTTAACTCCTGAAAATCTGGAGTTCAGGTGATAATAGACTTCAGTGGGAATATTAGTGGTGAATGAGTTGCACATACTCTAAAAGGTAGGAAAAAAATTATGTAAAATGAATTAAATAAAATGCAATAGAAAGTACGTATGTCAGCTATCTCAGAAAACACCAGAATGAAAAACAGCTGAAGGGTGATGCTATAGTACCATTAAAATAAAACTTGCTAGGATATGTTGATGTGAATGAGAAAAGTAAGTTCGGTTTTCAAGGAATGTTAACATATAGAAGAGAGATGCATTTATACATGTATATTTCAGTTATACCCCTGCAAGAAAAGTTATGTTTACATTTATAATACATTAGAAGTTTTTCCATTTTCTTAAGTAAAAAGCAGAGTTTTGAAAGAAACCTTTAATCTGTGGATATGCGTTAAAGAACTTGTCCACCTTTCTATTTTGAAGAGATTTTTCAAAGATGGGGCTTTCAAAAGACTTTTGTAAACTTAATGTGGATGAAAATAAATACCTGTCAAGGAAAGGGCTCTTAGAGATGATGTAGAGTCCATGATGTAGTCATCTGTGAAACACATACAACTTGAACAAGTTAACCATCAAAATAATATAGGTAGTTAACTCAGGTGGCACCACAAACAGAAGTAGGTCAGAATCTCTAACAAAGTATTTTTGTCATGAAAAAGCCTACTACCTGCTTCCCCCTTAAGTACTGTATTTGACTTTTAAAAAGTACATATCAGTATTAAAACAATGAAGTTGAAAGTATAATTAGAAGGAGAACAAAAGTCAATGCATTTAACTTACTTCAAGAACCAAATACAATGTTGTTAGGGGGAAAAAAATCCAGCCCAAATTATACTTTTTTGCTGAACTGCTTAACTGGTGCTGGGTACACCACTCCTCCTCCCATCCCCAAATTACTTTGCTTTTGCAGTGCACCCTGCTGTAAGCTACAGTAGCTGTGATTTTGTTTTTAAACTGTGAACTAACATATCACAAGGGGATCTGGCTTTTTTTTTTTTTTTTTTTCCAGAAGATTTCTCATCATGTAAAATGAAGGATATACATTTGAAACAAAGGGACCTAGAAATATTGATCAGTATTGGTTAACTTCAACTGGCAGTTCAAAACATCTAATGAAACATGGAAAGCTCAGTATCTTTAAAGAAAAATAATAGAAAAATGCATGTGCTATACAGTATAGTTAAAAAAAAAAAGAAAAATCTGAGGAGTATTGTAGAGGTTTTTTATCACTGTTGACAATACTTTGGACGGTATTTGAAAGTATTTAACACAATAGAACCCTATGGATTTAATCTGGAAGTTTCATGAATTATGATATTCTTTAAGGATCATCTTGTTCTTTACTACATATAGTTAAGCTTATTTCACGATTATAAAGTGTTTCCACCTTGATCCTAACTTGGTCACAAGTTTGCACAACTACTATGTATACTTAAAAAGAACCTAAGAAACAGCAACTGGGTCATTACTACCCAACATTGGGAGTGAGTGCAGAATGGATACCATTTATCCATTTAGCCAGTCCCGTTTGGTTTGCTGAGAGATACGTTTTGGCAATCAGTCACCAGTATGGGCAATGAACAGAAGCAAAATTTGGAAACTAGACTGTTTAGAAAGCCATCTATTACCTATGTCTGCAAAAAATGAGGGTCTGTTTACAGTCCAGGCTTCTGAAATCTCAGCTCAAAGAGTTTTTAAGATTAGGAGGTGTTAAGGGATATAAGCGCATTCACCTTTCTGTAGACGTAGGTCAAAATCGGGGTGAAAGTCCTGATAGGAGCTTGGGCAGTGGACACTACAGCTACTGTAATGGAAGCTAGGCTGTGGACACAGGCTGCTTCCTGGGAAGAGGTTGTGTGCTCGTACCTCATTGTGCCTGATGCCGAGTGTGGGATAAGACAGCACAAACTGGACACAGAGCAGCCACAGAAATCTAGTTTATCCCTCAGCTTACAAGGCAGTAATCTGCTCACGTCTATACCCAAACTACTTGCAGAACTCCACTGAAGTCAGCAAGGACCGAGAGGACCTTGAGCATCCGTGTAGGTGGAGCAAGTTGTAATACTGGACTTAGTCCTTTGAGTGGGAATGGCCTGGTTTGGAAAGGTGTTGAACGCCATAACTTCGAATATTGGGGATATATTGTAGCTACAAAAACGTAGCGTTGTTTTCCGTAGCAAAATATTGTATTTGTTTTGAAATGTGTGTTAAGCAACGTGACAGTGATGTACAATAGCACAAAAATTGCCTAAGATAACAGTTTATTCAGAAAAACAAGGGATTTTAGGATTAAAAAAAATGAAGGAACGTTACTTTAACTTCCCCTGATTAACAAATCACAATGCGGTAGAGGTAGAAGAGTTTATTATATAGCATGTGTAGAAGTAGTTCTGAACAGGGGAGTGCATACCAGTATTTTCAGTATCTTGGCTCAGCAGTTTTGACCCAGACACCTTAACTTTCTTTTTTCATACTGGAATATATTTATGGGATTACATGGATTTTTACTGAAAAACATTTATAAAAACTGTTCTGATAAAAGCTTATTTTATACAGCAAATTATATTTTATAATCCTTTTTTTTACAAGACATGGGGCTTATTCCCATCATCTTTGAAAGGCATCTTGCCATTGGTCTCAGTGGGAGCAAAATCAGATCCAAATTTTGTGAGAATTATAGTTCAAACTTGCTGTTTTGCAGTTGCTAATTTCCTTAGAAAAGCCAAACTGCAAAAACGTGTGTGAAGCAATTACCTCCCACATTTCAGATCTTTAGGTAAAAATTGCACGTCAGGAACATACCGTATGTCAGGCTCATTACAGGAGGGGTTTGTTATATATTTTTTTTAATCCTGAAATACATTTGATATTTGCATATTTCTAGACAAAAGCATAACAAGAATGACAGATTGGTCACCAATGGAACCAACACATTGTGTAGATTGTTTTTGTGTTAGTAAAAGTCTGCTCATTTTCTCAGTGCTCCAGAGTTTACTATGCAGTGTCGAATGAGTGCAAACACCAAGTGTATCTTCCTGTAGTCGTTCATGCGTTGTTTTGCAGCGTACTCATTCAAAACCAGCAGGGCGAATTTCATACATGAGACATTGAAAAGTGGTTTATCCTGTGTCTCACAGTTATGCCGATAAGGCATTTTCATTTCCTCCAAATCCTAAAAGGTGCTGAAAGATTTTAACTTGAATTAAAACCAGAGTATGTTATTGGAAAGTTTTTATTATGCAACTAAATGCTACAGATACAGTGAAATGCCACTTGTTTTTGCAACTTTAACATTTCCTTCACTTTTCTTCCAAGAGTCTTAATTTCAGTATCTTTGCATCTTTATCTGAAGAGCTCTAATTTATAATATTCAGGCACTAGCTTTGTATTCTTCATTGCACTTTCATATTCTTGTGTTACATGCCCGTATTATGGT